CCAGATTTTTTTGTTATTTTATATATTTATATTAGCTCATACAAGGCTTTGCAGTAGTTACAGAAGGTAGCAGACATTTGGGGGTCGACTTTTAGGCTTAAATCACTTGGATGTCACTGACACAAAGGGGCGTTGTCAAAGAAATCATGAAGCTGTTAAACAAAAGGAATAGATAAATACGAAGGCACGGAGATTTGCAGAATAAACACCAAATTTAGAAATAATGGTGATAAAAGAGGAAGACGAGAAGGAGGTTAAGTTGATTAAAGGCAATTTTACTAACCAAACACTAGAGGGCGCTTTAGGAGCGCCTGTTTTAAACCTATGTGTGAATGTTGATTGGATGGGCTATTTAAAGCCTTGAAATGTAAAGAAATATATTTTTGAAATCAATGTTGTGCCCAGTAGCGGTTTTAGGCATGGGCAGACAGGGCAGTTGCCCGGGGCAGCATTTTTTCATGACACAAAAGGGGCGCACAAGCGCTGAGAAAAAAATAAAAAAGAAAGAAATCTGTGCCGCACCGAGGTTTTCTATTATCTTTCATATCGCAGTGTCTGGACTGGAAACATCAAGATGGCGCCCCCTGCAGCTGCAGGCGCTCCTGCTGACTGAGAACGTTCACGTGCACCGTGTGTGTATGAAGAAGAGGCAGGGGAGGGGTGCGGTGGGGGAATTCACCTCTGGGTCTTTCCCAAATGAAATGAGCGGGTAGGGGCTGATTCAACTGTAACATGGCTAAAGTCAATCACATCTACAAGACAAATATATATGATGTTGACTAGTGCGTGTGTGTGTGTGTGTGTGTGTGTGTGTGTGTGTGTGTGTGTGCGTGCGTGCGTTAAGCCCCGGATCTTCTTCAGTCCTTAATCCGCCCCTGGTCAGAGTCATCTACATTAGAGAGTAATGGCCCTTTAGCCGTTTCCCGAATCGGAAGCTGGAATCGGAAGCTAACTTCAGCCTCGTCCTGCTGCAAGGGTCTGCAGAGGCTGTCAGCAGGAGCATCTAGACCCAGAAAGGGTGTTTAACAAGCCACATCTGATCCTGCAAAGTGGTACTAAATTGATGACAGGATGCGTGAGTACTTTGCACTAAACCATCCCTTTCAAAATATTGGATATTTCTCTGCATCACAGAGGAAATATGGAGACATGAACTGAAGCTTAACCAAGGAACATTTCTTTAGACTTGTTTCTGCTGTGGCTGAGGCCTGTGATGCTGGAAGGCTGAAGATTATCCCGGAGTGGAGAATGCTAAATGGTTTCCTTGGTAAGTGTTGCTGGTTTTATTAAAAATTTTTAAAAGATTTTTATTAATGTTCAAATAGCATAATAAACAATAAGTTCACATTCAGAAAATTGACACAGAATTTCTGATTCAGCAGAGGCAAAAACAGCTTGAATGAGCAAAAAGCAAAATCAAAACTTAAGATAATGTTTTCATTTTATTAAAATACTTTCTTTTAAGATTATAGATTGTATTAAATGTATACTGTAATAATTTAGGCTGCATGTTTATAGTTTGTTTTTGCACCTTTAAACATGCTTCAGTCCATTAAAATTCATCTATTTCTTCTTGAATATCTTTCAACTATCATGTGATTAATTTGTCAACATTTATAAATGTTGTAAGCTATTGTATTTAGCAGAAAATATTTATAATTAAATGTGTTGATTAAATGTAAACTGAGCAAATAAGATAAGCATATTTGCTCTGTTGACATAGTTTAACGACACCTAGTGGTTATTTACTGGTACTATTGCCTTGACATTGACACTCCTAATGGATAAGATGAGGATAGTTTATTAGCATTTAATACAGCTGTGTAATAACATATAAACTAATAATATCAAAAAATAGTCTGATAGAATTTTTTTTACATATAAAACAAACTTCTTTTGGCATACAAACAACCAGTTTGTAAACAAAGACTAGGCTATGTAAAATGTGAATGAACTTTTATTAGTAACTTTGGTAAGTTTCAGATTTCAATTCATTAAATAACATCCATGGAGGGGGGGATTTACTTAATCCGGCTCTGGCCACAATATTCTTATTACCAACCTGTCACCGCAGACGGGATTGGACATGCGCACTTCTCATTACCGTAATTCCTGAACCGTTCAAGATATCATTAAAATTCCAAAAGTGCTGAAAAGATTAAAAATGGGGCTTTTCGGGCATATACAATACATTACGGTAGCCACCGGGATTCCCTGTCTTGAGATTCAGAGACGTGCCAAGTTTGTCATCCAAAATGTTCCGTTTTATAACTTTTGAATGGCTGATCAGATTCAAGACATTCCAATGGTTCCTAAAAGTACATAAAAGCAGCTTTCCGACGATCTATAGCATGCAGCAATCAGAGTTATGGAAAATGTCGCTACGAGGGGAAATCCTGCTGTACATCCTGATAGAAACGGAGCACAGCGGAGCGCAGCGCTGCGGTGAAAGCGGATAAAGGAATGGGGAAGCTAGTTAGCATAAAAAGCCGGCATGAAATTACGGAAATGACTCAAAGAAAACCAAAATGGAAAATAGAAAAAAAATAAACAAAGGCAAAAGCACAGGAGCACTGACAGGAAAAAGCAGAGCAAATATTGAAAGTGCTCAAAGGGAGGGAAATACAGGAAAAAAAGCAAGTGGTGCTCGCTGCAGAACCACAAAGGCGGAGCTGCACCAGAAGGTGGAGCTGCACCAGAGTCAGCCCCGCCCATTCCAGAATCAGCCCCGCCCATTCCATCAGAGTCAGTCCAATTCCTTCCAGTTGTCAGACTTGATAGCATTCTGGAACCAAAGACGGTGTTATAGCTAAAAAATGCAAGATTGAGGACGGAGTTGAGAAGTGAATTGAACAGTTTTTGTAAAGGTTCCATATAATTAAAAATCTAACTTTTGGAACTTTTAATCATGTTATATTGTCATTTCCTCATAAGAAACACGCCAAAGCCATTTTTAGCCTCATTCATGCATTTTCCTCCCATCTCAGCTTCAATTTGGTCTCCTTCCCCAAAGCGGGTCTGGTCTTGGTTCTCAAATCTGGATATTCTGTGAATTTTCTGACAAATTATTTCTGAAATGACTTCTACTGAGACACCGCCAATAAACCATACAACCCATCTCAGAGACACACTGGGCAGCACAATTACATGTAACGCCACATGATTTATAACAGATGTGGTGGTGTAGTGGTTGTGGAGTCAGGTTGACATGCAGTTTGGTGCAGGCTCCTCCCAGTAGTGCAAGTTTTAGGTAGTTTACAACCTCTTTTCTTAATTTCTAGCTACACTTGCCAGTACTATGTTTACAACAATTTACTGGTATACCGTTTAACATATAATGACTAATGTGTTTTTTTTATTTATTTATTCGTTTATTTAGCCAGTGTGAGTCCATTTGTGAGCAGAGTTTCAACTAAAATGCTGTTTAGGAACGACCAAATTCAAAGAAATTTTAGAGACATAAATATTTTGCTGAAAATAAACATTACAACTAAAATATAAACAAATTAAATGTTTCAGCTGGCTAAATAGATTGCTGACGACCCCACCGAGAATCGAACCAGCATCAGCTGAGGGGAAAGCAAAATGTGACTCGATTTTGCTACTAGACTACCAGAGCCCATTCAAGAGTCTGATATGCTGTTGTACTTCACTTTTGTTAGACCGGCTGTGGGCAGATATTCACTAAAAGAAACCTTTTCATTTCGAGATATATTCCGTCTTTGTCATGTAGCAAGTTATATTTATCTTGTTTAATTGGAGCATAGAACATAGCATTTTCGACTGTAAACTAGTAACAGCCGTAATTCATGTGGGTCAGGTCAGTTTGCGATCAAGTTGAAAACAAAAACGGAAGTCAGTGGGTTAGGCTGAGTTTGCGTGAATGGGCGGGGCTGACTCTGGTGCAGCTCCACCTTATGGTGCAGCTCCGCCTTTGTGGTTCTGCAGCGAGCACCCTCTCAAAAAAAGAGGAGGTCTAATAAAAAAGGGAAAATAACTCATGTCAGAAGAGGGGGGAGTTTCGCAACTCCAGTTAAAGGTAAGATTGTTGAAAATTTAGTGTAAGGGGCCCCATGTCTGTGTTCGCCTTGGGCCCCCAACTTGCTAAATCGACCACTGCCCTCATGGAGGGTGCCATCAGCTAGCACACTACTGCTAACCACTTACACATTCTCCCTCTCCTGATAACATTTTACTTTCTTTGACATGGAATGGGCTACTGCTAGTTTACCTGTTGAATTATTTAGATTCACTCAGATTAAGTAAATAAAGTTTATCTCTGACTAAATTGTTTATCTTCTAAGAAATCACAATGTAGCCATTGAAACACTACTTGGTGTGTTGTGTTGTGTGTGGCGAGTAGGTGTGTGTGTGTCTGCTCTGTCTTCTCAGTAAGTCGTGCTGCTTATACTGAGCCAGGATCCTCTGGAGGTTTCTTCCTGTTTAAAGGGAGTTTTCCTCTCCACTGTCGCTGCATGCTTGCTTAGTATGAGGATTGCTGTAAATGCATTTTGCTGGGTTCCTTATATAGGAAACTTTTTACTGACTGGCTTAATGAACTGACCTGTATTGGAATGTTTACCTTGTGAAGTGTCTTGAGACAACTCTTGTTGTGATGTGGCGCTTTATAAATAAACAGAATCGAACACAAACTGTTGTTTTTCTGGACTCTTCTGCTGAATATAGGTGACATATTTTAGATTACGGAGCCCATTTATTAAAATTCTGACTAAATTTGAAACTAGCAGTGATAAAACAGATGCTTACTACAACCTAAGGGTCAGCTGACTAGAATTTTACAAATACACCTGATTTACAGATTTATAAATAGAAATCATTTATACTTAAATATCTCTGGCTCAGACACACCCTGGCTTCACCTTCAGAGAAAACCAAAAAACCTTAGTTGTGCCAAACTGGTGCAGCACAGAAGCAGCACTGCAGCTTCCATCAGTTTCTAAATGAGTTGGAATAAATTCAAGGATCGAAGAAGAAAAGCATCTGGTAACAATCAGATTTATTTCATGACACACAGCCTACATGAACATAAATAGATTAAGAATCCTTCCCCACATAACCCCGGTCATGTCTGTCCTCAGTGGGAGAGCTGCCTGGTGATTGTTTGTTAAATTGGCATATTGCTTTAAATTGTTACCGTTAAATGTTTTATAAAAAAGTTGAATATTTAGAAAAATATCAAAATAGAAACAAAACACCTCAGAGGTCTTTCCACTCCCAACGTCGGGGAGGTTGGCTCCACCGTGTCATCTCTGTGGTCTGTGAGGTGGGCTATGTGGGTGCACGGCAACAGCCGGTCCAGTCCGGTACGGAGGACTGAAGGATCAGAAATCTTTTACTAAAGTGAATCAAACACAACAAAGCACTACAGCTCAGCGCATAGAAACAGAGCGGCTTACTGGTCGGGATTAACTTCAGAGTCCTTGACAAGTTTTAGCCAAATTCAAAGTATTGATTAAAAACGAGTACATTATTCTGGATTTTCTGCTTAGTAAATTGCCGAGATCATCAACACATGATGTCAAGATGCTTAAACTTAATTCACAGTCAGGTAAAAATCACGATTCCTTTATTGTAGTGGTTGACCGTAGACGGTGAACCTTTGAACCCGTGATAACATTTCTTTTTCCAATACCGATCACATCAAAATATCTGAAATGAAAGAACCTGAGCACCCTGGGGATGGGTGGGTTACTCTACCTACCTCTACAAAGCCAGTTCTGAAGCAGAAAAGTGGGAACGGTAGAAGCTCTGCTCTGTGTGTGAAGGAATATAAGAAAACGATAACAATGGGAGGGAACTAAGTGCTAACAAGTGTCCAGGCACTTCACCTTCAGAGTAACACCTGGCACCGAGCGTCGATTAAAAACTACAGTATGACCGTCAAGAACTACAACCATGCACGGATAAACTGGCCCCTCCCTTCTACACATAAGGGTTAAATGCACACAGACACAAACAATTCACAGATTTAAATCAACATTGAAATGAGTCTCTTCTGACTGCTGCGGAACAGTTACTCAGAAGCTACTGTTTGAGTATACTGCGCCCTTGTGGCGGGAGGAAAAGCTGAAGTCTGGCAAGAGAGAAAGTTCATCATTCCAATTAAAATTGTGTCCCTTGTCCAAATGCTGAGGAGGAAAAGATGTGAGTCAGATTTACTGCTGAAGTCGTAGGTTGCTGGACAGGGGGTGGGTGGGGTGATCCGGGCATGGCGTCGAACTGCTTAGTCTTTTAGTTGCCGGGGCTTTTGGGAGCACCGGCACCGAGGCCCAGGTAGGTGGCTCCCGTCTCCACGGCACTCTGGACCGGGATGATCACAGCATCTAGGAGGCCTTTCAAGGTGTTGATCTGATCAGCGCTCAGGTTCTGGTGGATGTAGCAGAGAGCACCGACCACCACCACGAGGAGCAGCAGCTTCAGCAACACGGACAGAAAGCCTCGCCGCGCGGGCGCTTTGCTCACGGAGCCGCTGGGCTGGGAGAACAACTCGGAGTAGGCGCGCGTCTCTGTGCGAACGCTGTGCTGCACACGGGACTCGTCCAACCAGTACTCACTGGGTTTTAAAGGCCGGCCTGCTGCTCCTCTGATGGGGCGCCTGCAGGTTGCACTGACAGGAAAAAACAGATCGTATCTACTTTAAAGCTCTACTAGCTAGCTTTATCAATTATTACACAAGACGCACGATAATTACCTGATGCCTGTCGGTGTGCTGATCTCATTGGCAAGGATATCTTCAACCACACTCTTGCTGGCCTTTATAGGAGTCTCCTCAATAATTATCTCCTCCACTACCTCTTAGAAAAAATAAAACACGCTCACACACATTGTAACTCTACAAGGTTAGATACTTAGGAACTGTAAGGTGTGACTGACTTTGGTTTGTCGTCTGCTGCTGGTCCTGACGGTGACAGGAGCGTTCCCTCTGCTCCTCATGGGCTTCTCCACCACAGGAACTGGTTCTGGTTCAGGAACAGTAATCTCGTCTAGAAGATGCAAATGAACAAGGACAAAAAAAAAAACAAAAAAAAAGAGGTGAGAAACGTGGCTGACTGTTGTGCTGTAATCTGTGTTCCTACTGAAGCCCAACAACAATGGGCTCTCACCATCTTCTCTATCGCTGTACTGGTCAGAGTTTGTGTTGCCATTCTGGTTGCTGTCTGCTTTGGGGAGAGTTGTGACGTCTGTAGGTGCTTCGGGTTCAGCTGCGGGCTCGTCCAAAAGCTTCTGCAGCTTCTTCTCGTACACTCTTCGGGTGGAAGCTAAGAGAACAGAGAAACGTTTGTAAATAACAGATCTGGTGCATACAGGCCACGCTTCAGGAAGAAGAACTTAAAGCATGTCTGAATGCGTACTTGAAGGTTCAAACTTACACAACATGTTATCCAAATACAAACTGTCACTATATTTTCACCTTTTTTATCCTTCCAACATGAAACATTCTGACTTGAGTTCACCTGCTTATAAGTGTCAGGAACTTCGTTAAACTGCAAACATGAACAGAATCAGTTATAGGTGTAACTAATGGACAGTTAATTTAAATTTTTACATGTAAATAAAATTTATCAGATTTTTTAAGTCAGCGTAGTTTAAACACAACATAATATAATGTCCTAAAAGGCTTGAATTAAATTAAAAAGCTGTAAAACTCCTAAAAAACGAACCAGTCAAGAACAGAAATCAATAATTGAATGTTTCCTGTAAGAGTTACAGTGTTGGAGGGAGATGATGTTAAATGCTGCAGCCATAATGTTGTTTTGATGCAATAAAGCACATCAGAAAAACCACAGAATTTGAATAAATAAAAACCCTGAACAGATCTGAGTCGTGCAAAGCAGGAGAAAATGGCTGAGTCTGTGAACAAAATAAACAAAGATCCATGCAAACCTTTTGAAACATCTCTGAGATCTAAGGGAGCGTTTTCCAATCCTGGCTCCTGCATGTTTGAGATGTTTCACAGTTTAAACAAACCTGATCTAAATCAGCAGATCACCAACAGGCTTCTGCTAACTTAATACACAGCTGAGAGATAATTCTATCACTGGAATCTGGTGTGTTGGAGCACGGACGTCTCATAATGCTCAGCGAGGGGTTCTCTGAGGAGCAGCATTGACAATGATTTATTTTAAAGGCTGTTACAGCTGATCACGAGGTTTAGAGATTTCCCATCTCGCTACAGCCATGGTGACTTACACATACAGAACTAATAGTTATGCTCAAAACAACATTTTTTACATTTCTGCTGTGCTGTAATCAATTAGTCAGTTTTCATGCACCTTTTATAAAATAACTCCTTAACATTGTAACGGTTTGTTACAACATGACTAATTTGGAAGAATTTAAAGAACATGTAACAAACATATTTAAGAATGTTTTGTTTATTTTTTTACATTTGATTATCCACACTCAAGGTTTAAGGGAAATGGTTTATTTCACTGTAAGTGGACCATATACATTTAAAAACAAACTATCACTTCACAAATTTTACTTGATCTTACGGAGTGTTTACAGCAGGTTTAAATGTAGTTGTGTGTGTGTGTATAACGGAACTCACCAACAACGGGCCCTGTGTCTAAACCATGTTTTGCCAGCTGTTGCTTCAACTCTTCATCAGTCAGATCTGTCACCTCCACATCCTCACTTCGAGGTTTGTCAGTCTTTTTCGTAGCTTTCTGCAGAAGAAAAAGACAGCCAAACGGGGAAAGGAATCATAAAGACGTAAAAAAAAGTCCAAAACTTTTCAGGCCAAACGAGATATTTTTTACACAGCATACAATTTAAAATAATAAAACCTACTCTTCCGGAGCGACTTCTGTTGGACACCACCGGAGGAGGCAGCTCTTCGTCGCTAGAGAAGGTGTCTGCAGGCGGACTCTTCTTGTTGTTCAGCACGGTCAGGTTCTTCAGATACAGCTGCACGTAAACCTCCTTTTTATGCTCCCCGCTCGGTAGAGGCACATTGTTCGCTGTAAGCTCGTTCTTCAGCTTATCTTTCGTAAGAACTGACGGATCTTCCAGAAACTCTGCCATGCTAACTCAGTTTGAAATTAACGCTATTTTTCGTCGCTGCTTGCGGCCCAGGAAGATGATCTAATTCGGCGCTACAAAAACAAAAACACTGAAGACGTAAAGTGGCGCCTACCCGCTGCCGATTTAGCTAGCAGCACAGACGCGCAAAATATGAAAATAAACGTACAGTTCTGCTTGTTAGCCCGAAAGAAAACACACTCACAGACAGCTTGGAATTTTCGCAAAAAGATCCACGGTCGTGCTGGGACTAAAACTCGCAGAGAAATATAAAATTTCCAGAAGTAAATTGACTGAGTTAGCTTAGCTTTAAACCGGTCTAGTTGCCTTTGCTCATCTGCGGTCGAAACAGGGCCATGATGTAAACGTCCTCGCTATTGGTCGAAGGGCTGCAGTAAGCTTGAATCTGATTGGCTACCTATGAATGGAACCCTGGCTGACTGCCGCCACAAAGGAAGCTGGGGCTGAGGACTTCGTGTAAATATTTCGCATGAAAATCGTATTCTGCTTTGTTTTTTTCTAATTATACAATAATCTTCATAGTTAATGTCAAATAATGTAGGTTCAGAGTTTTTGGGATAAGAGCCATTTTAGCAAATACTTTTGCGGTAAATGCATAAGTGTTATTGCAATTTATTAAATAAAACTTATTCGAATTTTTGTTACATTATTATGATTTGTGACTAATAGATGATACTGATAACTTCAGTGGTTAACATGAAATAATGTGGTAAATGTTTGTAGAATTTTTTTTCTTGTGAAACAGAAGAGGGCAGCAGAACCACGTAATTATAAGATAGAGCCTTGCCTCAAAGTCGGCAAATACCAGTGACGTAGGTTATTTAGGTCCAATGTTTAAAGTTTCTATATAAGTATGGACACTGATTCTGGTGGAGATGTGTTTCAGGAAGTGGCTATTATCAGTTTAAAGAAACACAACTGCACCTTGGCTGCACATGTTTAGTCATGAGGACGTATCTGGTGTGTGCTTACTAAAAAAAAGAAGAGACAACTAATTTTTTCTGGAATCCTCTGAGCCATTTAGCTTTTCCAAATGACCTATAATTTGGATTGCAGATTTCCTTCAGTCTTCCTGTTAGAGTTTTAAATAAAATGAGCTGAGAATCATTTGAGTTAGTTGCTTTTGGTCAGATTTTGAAAATGTCATGTACAACATAAATGATAGTGACAAATGACCCGCACTTGTATAGCGCCTCTCAGAGTAAGGACTCCAAAGTGCTATACACTACAGTGTATCATTCATCCATTCACACACACATTCACACACTGGTGGCGATGAGCTACGATGTAGCCACAGCTGCCCTGGGGCGCACTGACAGAGGTGAGGCTGCCGAGCACAGGCGCCACCGGTCCCTCCGACTACCACTAGCAGGCAAGGTGGGTTAAGTGTCTTGCCCAGGGACACAACAGCAGAATTCTCTGTCTGGAGCCGGGATCGAGCCTGCAACCTTTCAATTACTGGACATCAGCTCAACCTGTTGAGCTGCTGCTGCCCCATATATACATATGTTATTATTCAGAGTCTACACAGTGAATGACTCCGCCATTAACTTATTTGCTCAGTATTAGTTGACAGATGTTGTGGTCATCTTGACTTGACTGACTCCAGAAGTTACCCAATTAAAGACGTACATCCAGTGAAGCAGAGGTGTGGACTCGAGACACATGACTTGGACTCGAGTCAGACTCAAGTAATTATTTTGACGACTTCTGACTTGACTTGATAAAATCTATAAAGACTAATGACTTGACTCGGACTTGAAAGCCACTGACTTGCGACTTGAATCAACTTGCATCTGTTGACTTGTTGACGTGAGCATATTTGATATTTTAGCACATAAGTGGCACGACATGGACAAAAATCATAAATCATTGTTCGTTCTGGGTTTGATCTTGTTCTGCTAAATGCAGCAGCACTTTGTTTATAATAATATAATTTATTTATTATCATTGTCATTTAATTGAAGTTGGACAGATGACTTGATTATGACTTGAAAATTCAAAGTTAAGAACTTGGACTTGACTTGGACTTCCACATCATTGACTTTGGACTCAACTTGGACTTGGTTCTCTTTGACTTGGACTTGACTGGAAAGACTTGTGACTTACTTGTGACTTGCAAAGCAGTGACTTTGTCACACCTCTGCAGTGAATACATGAAGAAAGTTAAATTAATGTGTGCCTGGATGTTCAAGAGAAACTTAACTAAAAGACAGACATGACTGACACCAATGGCAAAGTTTGAAGCTAAATGCCGCACAATTGTAGATCTTGGAGTATGTGTTGAGGATGAGCTGTATCTACTTTTTATGGTAGTAAATGAACGTAGCGACCATTTAGCATCAGCTTGATTTCAAAAGTCAATCGGTTGTAAATGTGAAACCAGTGGTTACTTTTGTGTTGAGTTAAAATCTGTCCATGAGCTCATCAAATAAACACAAGCATAGAGAGACAAAGGCAAAAACATTATCACCCACCTTACAATTCAGTTAAAGTCTGGCCAATTGTTCAGGATTCATCCACATAACAGACTCAAAATAAAAATAAAAGACATTTTTATGTTGATTGTGGAGAAAACAGCAGTTCTGTTTACTTGGATTTGACAGTGTTAGGATATGTCCTGTTTGCCTTGAGTCTCTGGGCATGCTGGCCCAGTAACAACCCCCCTGTTTTCTGCGGACAGTGGTTTGAGGTGGCGCTAAGTGGCTCCCCACCTGTCCTTCACACTGACCTCTTGGGCTTTCTGGGATGCTGCTGCAGAAACGAAGCAATTGATCCCCACCTCAGCCCCAAACCACACAAAAACACAGCAATTCATGTATAGTTCACCTTTTCCATCGTGGATTTGCCAATGGAGTGTGAGCGTAAAAACTGTTGAGCCCTCGAGAAACACCTCTTAAGCTTTCTTTGTATGTAATTTACACAGAAAATAAGGTTCTGGCCAAAAATCACAGAGAGTGCCTCTTTAAGCATAACAGTCATGGCCTCTGAAAAATTATCAAAGCCTACTCTTTAATCGTCAACATTCGTATTTTCAGAATGAGCTCATTTAAAAAGGAACAGCTCCGCTGATGTCAACCGGTCTGAATATGTGACACATCTTGACAGATTATTTTTAGCTGAATCTAGAGAACAAATGAAACAACTGGCTAATGACAGTCAAACATAATTTATTTGAAAAGAAAAACCAATAAGCAGTTACATAAAGTTGAACAGTCGAATGAATTATTAAATGCTATGTTGTGTTTGGAAAAGACGGTGCATCTCAAATGAACACACTCCAACAGACATGCTCTTGAAAAAAGATTTCTGATCATTTAGAAAAATGTTGAACACAGCCTCCTCAGTTGAGTTTGTCTTGGATTTTCAACAATTTCTAAACACCAATTGAGCCGACCACAGAAGTACCTTAGGAAAAGTCAACCTTTACCACCCAAAGAACGTCTGATCCAATTCCACTGACACAACAGAATACACTCTTGTGAATTAATCAATGTTGCACAGTTCTAGCTTCCCTGTAAGATAGCAGACATGCCCTCCTTTGGACATGGATCTCTTGATTTGTCCAGAATTTCTTTCAAACTGTAACATGTATACATATTAATGTTTGACCATGCACAGCTGTAAAAGGGTCAGTATCCCTGCACTAATCTATCACTATAATCTCTAATCCTCAAAGGATGTTATTACTTACTGCCAAACTAATTTAGATCAAGTCCTGGGCAGTTTCCTGTGCAAAAATGAGGGTAGGATGTGGGCAGTAGGAACAGTGTATTCCAGAGCTGAGATTTGTGTGTCCTGGCCTTGGAACAGCCCTCTAGTAATGCTAACACAGTATATTTTCATCTGTTGACAATCTAAACTCCACTTAAAGGACACACACTTAGTTGTAGACATTTCTGTCAAAAGGAAAAATGAGACTCTCTCCCTGGCCTTGTTGATGCCCATTTGGCTACCTGCCTGTTTGTATCATAAGCACTCCACCATTTATTTGTATTACTATTATGATTTGGGCTTTTCCCGTTTTATTTGGCTCCTGAATACAGAGACACACTTGCTCATGTCCTCACTGAACTTCAGGCAAACATTATTGAGTGTGAAGGCAAGGAAGACGCCCACGCTGAGGCAGCCACGGGACAGCATGTTGGATCATTCAGTGGAAAAAATATCTGCACATTGTCGATACTTTACAAATAATCACAAAGATAAACTAGAACTGCAAGCAGTTATCAACGGGTTCCAAGCCCCCAGCGCCAGTCGCCCACCCGGCCCCGCCCTCACCTTCGCCAGTCCTCACGCGGTCCCGCCCCAAAAACACGTTCTCCCGCCGGCGTCCCGTCAGCTCACTTCAACCGGCGCAATGAAAGTAACACTCAGGATACGTCATTAAACCTGCAAAGCCTATACACATATCTTTCAGAGGCATGGCTGACTTCTCAATCGTGATTACAATGGAATTCCACTGTTTCCTTATTAAAGAACGTGAAGATTTAATGAGTGAGATTATCAAACAATCATCTATACATCAACAGAATATTACAGATAACATAAAGACTTGATAATGTCTTTAGATTTAATAGATTTTCAACAAAAACAATGAGTTTCATTTTGTGACTTACTGATCAATTGTTTTAAAAAATCATGAAAAATACATAAATCATCATAAAATTACCAAAATATTCTCACATGGCACTGTTAACATGCGGAATAATATGATGTTGTTTTTAAATCAGTTGACTCAAAGCTTTTTTGAAGAAAAATTAGGAAATATAACTATAAAGTTCACAACAAAAATTTAAATATTCATAAAAAAATAGTGCTACTTTCTATAATTAGGAGAAAAATCTCAGATCACCGTAGGTACGTGTGGAATGTTGTTAATGGCTTATATTTACTGTATACCTAAAAAGTTTTCTAACAAAAATTAATTACGTTGTTGTCCAACTATACAGAAAAACTGGTAAAAAGTTAAAAATTAATTAAAAATCTATGCTTTTGTACAGAAATCTCAAAATATTCCCAGGTTGCCTCTGTGACGTGAGAATTCTTTTTATATTTTTGTTGGGGTCATAAATGTAAAACTGTACTTACAATAAAATAATATTTGCATTAGTGTCTGTAGACAAAAATATGTCCTAAAATTAAACACAAGGGGGAGCTCATATCAAGACGACATTTTTTTGTTTCATAAACCACCTAAGAGTGAACTTTGTAGCAAATTACAAGAAGGTTGTGAGAACAGAATTTGCGCTACAATTGCTAGCCTAAAAATGTATTTTCATAAATATAAAGCGTAAACCTCAACATGGAGCTGCGGCTTTCGTGACATAAGCTCT